TAGACGTCTTCTGCTGCAGGTGCTCCAGCAGCGCGTTTTCGTAATTTGAAAACGTCTTTAGACGCGCACCGATTGCCTCGGGGCCTTGTGCTACAAGATGTTGCACGCCCTCGGGGCCAAGCAAGGACATCAGCATGTGAAGCCCGTCCTGCATGCCCTGGGGCAAAGAGGAAAATTCCTCCATTCTCACGGAGGATCAGTCAGGTATAGATAGACTACAAGTGCTACTTAGTGCAGCGGGGCTGCTGTAGCAAAACGCTTGAGAAAGTGTCCTTTAGGTCAATGTCCTTTTTTTTCTTTACAAGAACCAAATCCGAGTAAGTGGATCGAAATCCGCTACCTCCAAGAGTAACTATTGCCTTACCTAAGGCTAATTGGCTCTTCCGTATAAAATCCAAGACTGGTTTTTTATTTACTTTAGATTTTTCTAAATATACCAAATATATAGTAAAATCTAAATACACAACATGCACATCTCGTGCGACACACACAACCCTGTTATCAACCCCGATACAGACGATATCTTTTATTGGTGCGATAACGGCGGGCACTCCTTCTAAAATCATGATGGTTGCAGTCTTCATCGACGGTCTCTGAGTAGGTTCGACTCACACCGATACCTTTCGTGTCTATCAAATAGTTTCATAGCTGGAAAACTTAAAGCTGGCAAATTCACAATTCTTAGCATGCAGGCGTCAACGTCACTAAACAATTTTATTGATCAGTCGCCACAAATGTAACCATATTTCGACTCATCTAAATAGATATATCTTTCAAACAAGTTGTAATTATAATTTCGGAAGAGTGAAAAATTAAAGAGCAACAACAAAAATATAAACTTCATGATTTCCTGTATCTGTAACAAACACAAGACCATTTGAATCAACTGCAATACCCATCGGAGAATCAAAACGGCTTTCTTCGCTTCAGGTAGGCACAAATGTCACGTTAATCAAGAAAATTCAAAAACACATTCGAAGTAAGTACTTGCATGAACCTAGCCATGCACAATACTGCAGGCTTTGATGTTGCATATGGTACAGTCCTTTAAGAAAACTCGGGCTGGTAGGGGGTTTTCCCCGCTCTAATCACAATATTTCTTATGCAACACACTGATAGAGTCATTTTGCAAACGGTCAAAGCATTTAAAATTTGATGGCTGAACTTCCTTGCATGAACTGCATTAGAGTATATGGTATATTCTTTTGCCAGATGAATCCAGAGGAAGTTATCAGTATATATAAAGTTATTCGGCAGATAAACAAGCGGGTAATCATTAAAGAGATTCAGCAATCTATACGATCTGATGATAAGCAGCTATTGACATAATCACAAACCACAACCCGTGACCTACTCATCTCTTCATTGGTGAATATCTATCAATTACCTTCAGTTATTGATATCTATTTGAAGGGGTGTGCAATTGATACATGTTTTTTATCAAAAGAAATGACCTGATCAGAAATTTGTAGTAAAAGCCAAGCGATAAATGTATGGAATTGCGACATCGACACTGGTCTCTCCTCCATCTCCAACACGCAAATCATATACATCAAGTTCTTGTGCCGGGGAGGGAATTGCAGAATCACGTCCTTTTTTTGCTTTATTAGAAATCTTGAACTTTATATCTTCAAGATTTCTGAAGGCCCAGTCAAACGATTTGCTGCGTAATCTGTCCGTAGTCCGAGGTACTCGTCATTCTGACAAAAGACTCTCAGCTCTGTCCCCAAATTCATACGGCAAACCATGAAGCTCACGATTTGCCTTATCTGGCTTGCTGGTTTTGTTGCCGCGTCTAATGCTATGGATGACTGCTTCGGCCGATGCAAAAATGATGCAAATTGGGCATACGACCATTGCTGCGAGATGCAAGGAGGAAATTTGACCGTTTGTTGTGAAACAATTTGCCGTGGCAACCAGCCTAATCAGCGTCCGTGCGTCTGATGCTAGATCGACTGACAAATAGGCTGCATCGAAAGTTCCAACTTTCACGATATAGCATTGATGCTGCGTAGCAGTCAGGGGAATAGTTAAATAAAGATCCTTTTTTCCTTTCTCTCTATCATTCATCGTCCAACCTCTTTGGCAACCCAACTCTTGAGATTCAACAATAAAACTTTTCTCGCCACGATTAACGTTTGAACCAACATACCGGTGTAGCTAGCTTGAAATCTTTTTTAAATTCTAATACTATTCATATGGTGACGACTTTGTACCAGATACGATGAATGGCTTCTTCCAAACGCTTCTAAAAGAGATTCCGCTTAAATTAGGGATATGAATTGGCTCAAACCTCTCATGATTTTTAGAAAGTATCTAACGCCAAATAAATTTCAGCTAGAACAATCCTGCAAAAAGGAGTTATAGGAATGCTGTCATTTTTTGTCAGATGCTAGCGTATTGTGTGGCGACAAGTGTTCCTAC